AAACATTAATAATATGTTTCTCTTGCATAATTTTTAAATTAAATTATTTGCACATTTTAATAATGGGGGAATCAAAAAAATCAAACCTTCCACAACATTGTATTAAGAGGGTAGACCCATATCCCATATTTGTTATCTCAGTCTTACTAACGCATAACGTAGAAAATTTAAATTCAGCAGTTCACGTTTTACCCCGCTTAAAAATTAGAGTGAATAGACCTATTATAAAAYTTGATGGTAAGAACATTATCTGTGTTTTGTTGGAAGTATTTTTACGATAATTCAGTTTTTAAGTAAGTAATGTGCGCATAATGAATTGTAAAATAATAATGCTCATTTTAGTWCTCACTTAAAAACTATATTATCTTAAAAATACTCCCAACCAAACACAGATGATGTTCATACCATCATGTTTAATAATAGGTCTATTCACTCTAATTTTTAGCTAACAGAGTAAAAAATGAACTGTTGAGTATAAATTTGCTATGTTACGCGTTWGTAAGTCTGAGACAACTAGATTTTTATTTTTTCTATGTATGTATGTAACAATAAGTAATGAACTAAACTAATTTTAAATTCATTTATAAGTACCTAGGTATTTATAGTTTCAATAAGCAGTTATTATTTGGTGTAAGAAATAGTCCAAAATAAATTAATCTGCTCTGGCACTTATCTTTGCTTATTAACAATTAATTTATTGGATTAGTATTAGTTTTATTGAATGTGAATTGAATCTTGTACATCACAATATTCAGAATTTTATATTTGTTTTCTRTTAAGCAGATATCAATAWCATCATGGCTAAAGTACAGCTGTCAAATGTGGTTGTATTGGATAATCCATCCCCATTTTTAAATCCTTTTCAATTTGAACTTACGTTTGAGTGTATTGAAGATTTAAACGAAGGTACTTGCAAAGAATAAATACATCTATTTATTTCAAATAATTTTTTCATAAATTATGCTTTTTAGATTTGGAATGGAAAATGATTTATGTTGGATCTGCTGAAAGTGAAGAACACGATCAAATACTAGATACTATTTATGTTGGCCCTGTTCCCGAAGGAAGACATATGTTTGTTTTTGAAGTAATAATCACATATTAATATATTAAATACTTTATCATTAAACTTAAACTTATATTTTTTAGGCAAATCCTCCAGATGTTTCTAAAATTCCTGTAGAAGACGCTGTTGGTGTAACTGTTGTACTATTAACTTGTTGCTATCGTAATCAGGAATTTGTTAGAGTTGGATACTTCATTAACAATGAATATACAGATCCAGAGCTGCAAGAAAATCCTCCAGCCACTCCTCAATTTGATAAGGTATTATATTAACATATATATTAAACTGCCATTTAACAATACACGTGGAAAAAATAAATTAATCATTACAACATAAAAAAAACAATCATGCCTTGTAGATAAGTTGGATTAGTTTCAAATCCAATTATATCAAAAAAAAATTAAAAATTAATTATTTAGATGTTTTTACAATTTTTGAAAAAAGTCCAATACTACCTGTATAATATCATATTTAAAATTTAAAAAAAAA